AGCATCTTACGGCTGTCTCTGCATCAGGGGACAGCAGAGCTGCAGCGGCGTGAACGACACTGCTGGAGATGGGTCTGAGTTTCTGTAGGTTTGGGACAGAAAGAAATGAGGTGAGCAGGGCACCCAGCACCGAACAGCAGAGGTGATGGAAACCAGAGGCCTGGGTGGTGAGTGATTAGCTCTAGCTGCTCAAGAATCTGATAATTTTGTTATATCTGCTCCCAGATCACGCTGGAGCACGGCCCCACGTGGGAGAGTCTTTGCTCGAGAGGAGATTTGGGCGGACAAAGGGATTTGGGCAGGGATTTGCACACCGCTGGGGCAAGCACTGACCTTGAGGCCAGAGATGGATCTGAAAAATTAAAAAAAAATAAAAAAATAAAAAAATTCAAAGGGCGATAGAAGCGTTGCGATAATCTCCAGTTGGTGCTTATCTTCGCTTCTTGCGTGAAGTCCCCACAGAGGTACGGCAACTGAGCGGCTTTGGCCTCGAGTCGTTCACACTGGGTCCCATTCTGGCTCTCTGGAGCCCAGGTGAGCTATAGGTTTTCAGGTAGGAAAAGGCAAGATTGGTAAAATCTGCTTTTCTGACCTGCCCTGGCCAGGAACCTCCCCTGGTGGTTTCTGCCGGCAGCTCCTGCGCTCCAGCTGAGGTGGATCTCCCCACCTTCAGAGCTGGCCACGGCTCTAGGCTCAGTTTTACTTCTGGGCGGGAGCGATCACCTGCACAATGGCTGGAGGGGTTACAAAAATTAGACTTTGGTGCTGCAGAAGGGTGGCTCCATCTGTCCTCATCACCCTGACTATGGTCTGCAAGACACCAGGAACTCCGCAGCAGCAGCCAGGGCTCCAGCTGCACAAATAACGCAGAAGAAAAGCAAGAGAGAGGGTGGTACGGGCTGTCTGCAGGGACAAGCAGCAGTACGTGAACGTTCAGCTCGGTTTTTCCTTGCTATAACACAAGAGAAGCACCCTGACAGGGGGTAGCGAAGCTCTGAACCAGATGGTATCACACGGGCGGGGAACCATCCTCTTCCTCCTCCTCCGCAGAGCTTTTGGGGCAGGTTGGACAGACCTTGGCCAGGAATGCGGTAGGTAAAGTCAGAGTTACCCGGGGCGGTGGGGAAGCTGCAGGTCTTACTTCTACAAGAGCTAGGACTTTCTTATAGGAGTTAACCCCAGATCCGTGAACTTGAGCCAACCCGATTCAACCAAGAGTCAGGGCTGCTAGAACAGGGGTTGGGGCAAGCTGAAGCCCCTCAGCATGGGGATGATGATGAGGCAATGCATCACGTACAGCAGAGAGAGCAGCTGGAGCATCAAACCTCAACCTTCTCCTGGGCAGCAGCTCCTGAACCCTCAGCCCTTGGGCAGGACTTGCTCCGTGAAGACAACCGTTATCCTGCTCTCCACTATGGAAAGAGCCGAAGGCTGTTGGTAGGTGACAGTCCATCGTACCACACAGGAGAATGGAGAGAGCAGACAGGAGCAGCCTGGGGACACAGCCGGAGCTACCATCGGCCGTAACCATGAGCTGCTTCCCACCGATGACACCCACTACCATATCTCCCACCACACAGTCCAACAAGTTCCCCCAAACACCGATGGTGGCCCGCCAGCCGAGGCAGCCGCAGACCTGTCACCACCTCCCACTGAAGAGGCATTTCACAACCAGCATCACGAGGGCCAGATCCCTCTGGAAGGATCCATCCCTTTTCCAGCCTCCTGCCCATGCTCCTGGGAGGAGAAGCTCAACAGCTGGAAAGGGAGGGTGTTCCAGTAGTGCCCGGAGCTGGTGGCACTTAGCTGGGGCTGAGAACCCCTACACGGGAAGGCGGGTGGCCAGGCAACTGCCACGCACCCCAACCATCCCCATGGCTGGATTTGCAGCTGTGGGGAGGAGGCTGGGGAACCTGGAGACATCCCTGTGGGCAGGGGGGACTGGTATGTGAAGGGGCTCCACGGAGAGCCTGGAAACAAGTCAGTGCCACCACCTAACGCAGCATCGCCAGGGGATGCTGCTGCTCTCCAAGCTTGACATTTCCCCAGGACGTGGAATGACGACCGCCTTTCCTCCTCTCCTCTTTCTTGGCCAAATCTGGGGCAAAGAGATGTTCAGCTGCCCAACAGCCCCCAGGCAGCCTGGGCTTTCAGAGCAAAGAAGCTTCTCCAGCTGGGCAGCACGCCTTGGACCTGCAGGAACCACTCACCTGCTGATGGGGCTGCTCCACAAATATTGGTCCAGGTGGGTGTGCACCTCGGGGTTACCTGGGGCACGCAGGTAACCAGACCCACGGTGGTCCAAGCCCAACTGCAGCTGCCAGCCCAGGCATGAGGCTCCGTTAAACAATGCTAATAAATACTTTATTTACCAAAACCACATTAAAATACTCCTAAGAGTGTCCCATCTTGCTGCGTCCCTTCAGTAGTGGCTCACAGCTTGAAGATCCTGGAGGAAGCTTGGAGATCTCCCGCAGCAGCACCAGCTTCATGGCCAGCAGGACCTCTTGGTGGCCAAGGTGGCTTCTTCTGCTGCGGCGGGACAGCCGGGCGGCCTCCAGCGCCACGTCCCAGAGCAGCCGAGGGCTGCCCACCCAGGCGAGGGTGGTAGCTGCCAGGGAGGAGCCTCCAGTGGACCACGTCTACAGGGAGAGCAACCAAGAGAGCATCAGCACGGCCGTCGGTAGGGCAGCAGGGCTGGAGGAGCTGCCCGCAGGCACGGCGTCAGGCAGAACTTCCCCAGCCACCACACCTTCATTTTAAGTCAAAAACTTCCAGATTCAGCTAACGTGTGAGCATCCAGGCTTGGATAGGTGGATGACCAAGCTGAACGCAGAAAGCAGGTGGGTGCATCCAAGCCCTGTTGGGCCATACCTGGTTTAGGAGCTTGTGGATGTAGGTGGAATAAGCCACCTTCTTCTTCCGCCTGCGGGGACGGAGGCAGAGGAGGCTTTGCCAGGAGCACCCGGCCGCTGCCGTCTTCGTCGGGAGGGCAGGGGGGTCAGGGTCCATCGCTGCTGCCCGCACCCGGTGCTGGTTGAACGCAGGCTGTGACCCTGCTGAGGGAGAGCAGGACCTGAGCCCCAGGACCCCCACCTTCCCCTGGATTTTCCAGGGCATTTAATTAGCATTCTGCAAATTAGGCACTTCAAATAACACCCAAAATATTCAGCATGTTGCATAAAAAACCAGA